AAGTGCCCGTGGGGCTCGCGGCAGAGCAGTGGCCCGTGGTTGCACACACTTGACACGCTGAAGGAATACTAGTAGTCACCATCGCGCTGCTGCTGTTGTCAGCGCAGACCACGATGGCAACCAGGCCAATAAGAAGGGTCAAGCAATGAAGGGATGGTGGCATGATGCAGTGAAATGCGCAATGGCAGAAGGCCGCGCGAAGAAAATTCAGCTAGCGACAAAACCAAGAGGACCTTGCAAGATTCGACAAAAAAGGAGTTATCGATGGTGACCGCCCAGATCGGAGCCGCAAAGAAAGGGTTTTGACCAATCATTGAAGCGCGGACCTGTGGTTGGACATCTGTTTTGGGGAGGTACGCGCGGTTGTACCGTCATAAAAGCTGCATTGTAGAATGACAAGTCGCGTGCGACGGATCGCAAATGCAGCGCTGTGGCTGTGCATGATGATCCTGCAGTCGGCAACGCGTCGGGTGTCTTTGCAATACAAAATCTGCTGTCCAGGACTCGACGCTTGAAGCGACTAGAAACGAGAAGCGATAGACTAGAATATTTCATTATTGTTCACATACACATACAAGTACTCGTGCGCTGTCATAGGGTCGCGTCTTTGGTGAATGTGGGAATCGTCGAGACGAAAATGGCTTGGGGATATTGATCGAATTCACGCTGCCGAGCTTCTTCTTCGCGCGCGAGCCGACGAGCCTCGTATACGCGGTCGCTCTCGAGTCGTCGCATATCAGCGGCCGCCCTCGCCGCAGATGCACGAGCTTTAGCTTCGGCAGCACGAGCTTCAGCTTCAGCTTCGGCGTCGTCGACCGTTGGGGCGCCAATTGCATTGCATGTTGCATATCGCTCTTCGATCCACGTCTCGTCGGCGGTGCCAAAGCAATGACAACACAGCGTGCAGAGAATGAAGACGAGGCCTGGCACGAGAAAGAACCCGCCAAGAATCCACAACGTCAGGTCCGCCGGGGGCGTTGGGGGCGCCGGCGTCGGCCCTTCGCAAAGACAGAGTGTGTCACGACCGGCGACCGGACAAGCTTGAGCTATAGCACAGCAGCACCACTGCGGCACGAGTGTATTCTTGCTGGCAAAGGTGCCGCAATATTTGCCGGCGTCGCCATGCCAGCTTGCACTGGCGCAGCTGCCGTTCGTCGCACACTCATAGCATGGAAAGTGCGCTGCAGTTGGTACCGGCGCAATGGCAGACACGGCGACGATGAGAGCGGCGAGGAGGAATTGAACCCGCGACATTGAAATGAAAACTGGAAGGCTGAGTGCCACGACACGGATGCGCGATATTCAGTGACGAGTCAGATTCTTGACAACCACTATGTTCAGAAACACGCGTCTGTATCAAGACGCGTGCGATGCATTGATGTGGCTACTGTGCAGCTCGTTGGCAACGTTTCCCGCCACGAAACACGTACGCCAAGGAAACAAGGAGCCAAGCTATAAGTATATAGTTGCAACAAAGAAACAGCACTAGATAGCGTTTGATTGTACTGTATGTGGCACACCTGTACACAGCACCGTTCTCGTTCCATGCTGATATTCCTCGATTTACGATCCCCGACGGACCATATATCCGTTTGGCATGACGAAACCGTCGTCACATGGTGGACACATGTGTTTTC